GGACATTCCAGGTTTTGCAAACGCGTACGGAAAGGAAATTCCGACGGCATTCCAAACGACTGTACTGCTCTGCCAGCTTAAGATGGTGGCCTCTCAATTTGTTGTTGTGACTGGGCTCTAGCAAATGGCGGCATGTGTGGTTGGGATCTCTCAAAATCTGGTAAGTCAAAATGAGGTCCCTGCGCAGTCCCCGATATTGTCTGTTGAAGACCCCGAGCATTCGAAGCATTCACTCATATGGCAAAGTATACAAAAATTTAGCATTCTTGGTTGCCCGGCGTTGGGGCATCTCTAAGGCGGTGAGATCTCTCCTCAGCCATGGGTGCCAGACTTGTATTGCGTACTCCGCATGTGAACGTGTGCATGAGCCGAGAAGCTGTGGAACAGTCGGTTGGCTTAATCGTCCAAATACATGCTTCAGGAGACCCACGTGTTGCCCCTCTTTGACGCCATTTCAGTCTGATTCGAACATCCAACGTCGGCCTGGACCAAAACGCCTAGATCCTTCTCGCCAGAAGACGTTTGAAGCTCCTGGTTTCCGAGTTTGTAGGAGCACACTACTGGATTCCTTAAGTGCAGCACTACATTTGTCTACATTGAATCGAAGTAGGTTCTGGATTCACCATACGTATATCTTATCCAGCTCGGCTTGTAGTGCTGTGATATCATCTGGGGTTTTGATCGTCCTCCACACCTTGATGTCATCGGCATAAAGCAGGCAGTTCGAGCTTACGTGGTGTATGGAATTGTTGATCTACGTCAAAAATAACCGCGGTCTTAGTACCGATCCCTGTGATACTCCAAATTCAACTGGAATAAGATCTGACAGGGATTCACCTATGTGTACTTCCAAACGTCGGTGTAGCAGAAAGCTTCTGATCCACCCTAGGAGAGGATTCTTACTATCATAGGTCTGGAGTTTGTAGAGCTGGATGTCATGGTCTAACCAGTCGAACGCCTTAGAAAAATATCACATCCATTCATGTGCCAGTCTACTGCTTCTGTCCAACTGAATTGTGCTGGTAGTAGATTTGTAATACATCGTAAACTTCGTCGGAATTCGTGCTGTTCCGGTGCAAGGTAGTTAATTTCTTCCAAGTTAACCCGTTAGCGCAACAGAAAATTAGCTTTCATGTCCTCTGAAAATATTGGTAGTAAGATTACGGGACGGTAGTTGGTTGGATCGGAGCGGCTACCTTCCTTGTGAAGAGGAGTAGTCATCCAATATTTCCACATGTCGGACACGTACCTTTCGTCAAAACAGTATTGGAAAATTCCAGACAGAGGCTCAGCGAAACTGTCTTCTACCGCCGCTAGCGACTTCGGGCGTATATTACCAACTCCAGGAGAACTGTGTTTGCACATACTCAACCGTTTTTTAGTACAGCTTCTGCCGTGGAACAAATGTGTGTTTTGGGAGTTGAGACAACTCTTGTCACAGGGTTAGTTTGCCAATGATCACGCTGAAATATTACAGCATATTACAAGCGTAGAGTATTCACCACCTTCGGTGTCCGCGTGAGTCCGTCTGCTGTTTGTAGAGGAGAAATTCAGCAGCTGTTATATGGACTATTTACGTGTTGTTACAGAAGCTTGTGGCTTGTGGCCATACACATTGCCAACTTCTCATGGTATGCCATTCTATCCTCGCGAACAAGCTGAACACAGTGATGGTTGCATGAACCATCTAGATCTCGCTGCTCGGAGAGAGTTTGTAGATATGCCAGGCGGAGTTTCGCACCACTATACACTTGCGTGCCTTGCTTCGCAGGAACGAGACCACGTTTCTCGGGTGGAAGGTCTTAGTCATTGATGCTTCGGCAACCAGAGTATTAATCTGCTTGACAAATGTTGTCTCACCTAGTTGGGCTAATATGCCGTAGCGCATAATCGTTCGTGTTGCGTCGGCAATTTCCACGGAATATTCTGTATAGCAAATGTATCCGAAAAGTAGGACTGCATGATTGCTGCGGCCTAAGGGGGCGTCGAAGATTGCCCTCTCGACCATCAGTTCTTCATTGGTAAATATCCAGTCCTGTATTGACAGCTTCTCTTTTTCTCGCAATCGGGCGAGTGTTGATGTTGCCATACAGCGGGAAACTAGAGATAAACTTGTAGACCCGCCCTAAACTGTTCTCCAGTGACGGCTTGGAATTCCAGAGCAGGGATGTTGAAATCGCCAGTAATAAGAATCTGACTGTACTTCTTGTTCATCGCCAGAATGACAGAATGATGTCCATCTCGGTCGTAGAGAAGGGAGAGCGGTAAACGACCGCCACAAAGCCGGTGTCGTTGCCTTACAAACGTAGACGACACCATAGAGAATTTTGTACCGTGTTGACCGAATCCTCTATGGGTTAACATAGGAGATCACTGCTGAAGTACACAGCCACTCCTCCACCTTTGCTGGGTCGATTGTGCCGAACAACGGACATGCCTGACAGTACGATCTGCATGTCATTTATGTCGGGGGTTAACTATGTATCCGTTATAGCGATGTCACAGGCGTTTGATCACTGACGCAGCCGCATTTCGGATAGTTTACACAGGAAGCTTTGACGTTAGTGTACATAAACGGAAGATTTTTCGATGTCAGAAGCTTTTGACTTGAAGCATATGAAGGAAATGCATTTGTATCGACGGATGAGAGTCCGGCACCTAATCGTTTTTTGATGAATTGCCAAATCTCGATATGAATGAAGCCTCTTTTTGGTCTTACTTACATCTGCGGTATGTAGTCCATTGGTAGCTTACTCGATAGCTACTAGTCTAAGCGCACAGTTTTCTGAACCGCTGTTGTGCTTGTATTGAATCGCGGATGGTGTCGTTTCCATAAGGACAGCGAGTGGCTGCGGTTCCCTAACTGATGTCTTCAGTCGTAGCTCCGAATGAAGTGTGTTGCGTAGTATCTGCCAGCTGCGGATTAAGTTCACCGTTATCTGTTTTGACTGTACTATTAGTTTCAGTAACATCGGGCCCGCGAAAACATGCTACTGCTGGCGCCTCCTTTATTTTCCATCTTACTCCCATCCCTATTCCCATTACTAACCTTTCTATAATTCCCAGCTTAATTGACATCAACCGAAGTGCCACTGGAGTAGAACCATCTGCAGCCACCTTTTTGCGACACGTACCGTACGCCTATCAGCAACAGTCCCTTATAAGGCCACACTGTCCCGTTTCCATGGCGGCGTTCAACGTTCGCACTTTAGGGCAAATAAGTCAACAGGCTGCGCTCGCACGCACCTTGGACATACTGGGTATTGACGTGTGTTGCGTGTCCGAAACTAGGATCAGTGATCTTAATGTGATTGTTGATTTAACTGCACCCGGCTTATCCTCTCGTTAGTGGTTGCGCGCATCCGGAGTCACCGATGCAGCACTCACGGGTCAAGTTGGTGTAGGTATCATTCTAAGCTCCAAGGCTGAGCCATCGTTGGTCGATTGGATTCCGATGAACAGCCGTTTGGGAGCAGTCCGTCTGACGACATCGACCAAGGGAGATTCACCAAACATTAGCACTGTTTGTTTGTGATTTCCACTCATGCTCCCACAGACTGCAGTTCTGATGCTGCCAAGGGCGCATTCTATCACGAACTGAACGCGCTACTACGCAATGCCATTAGTTCAGATAGTATACTACTTGCGGGGGTATGCATCCCCTTAGTCGAACATAGCTCTTATCCTTATTGACAGCCGAGGTCAAAAGACCGATTCCCTTGGTATTATTTTCATACTACACAATTTATGAACCGCTCAGCACTGTCATTTCACGCATCAGTCTCCGATGGCTGGGCCACGTGTTGCGCATGCCAGCCCATCGACTTCCACGACGTGCGTTGTTTGCTCACCTTGAATGTGGATGGAAGAAGAGGAGGTTTGGCCAAGCGATGACTTGCTCAAGAGCAATGAAGGCCCTCACTTCGAAGCTGGCCTCGGCCGGAGCGTCACGGCTCCCTGGTTGGAGTCCAAAGGACTGTGAACACGTTTGGCTGTATACACTTGCTGACATGGCAAGGAGCGGACCTCAGTGGCGCTCCTGCTGTGAGTTTTTTGTCCTCCTCTATCCCTTTTAGCCTCCTCCACCTACGATCTCATTTCTTAACGTAAAACATAATACTCTTTTCTTTTTGCCTAGTTGCCTGCTGGTAACTTACCGGAACGATGCCCATGCGTTGCTGGTAGCTCAGCTGGCATGCAACTTTTGTATTTATTTTCCTTTTTCATTTATATATTGCGGCACAGTAGCTGAGGTGTTTCCCACCTCTAGCTGACGTGTATAATGATGGATGATGATGGTCGTCGCTGGAGGGGACGGGGTGCACGTGTTAGCATCAAAGGTTGGTTCCATGCACTCATTGTGGAGCGGACTACCGTCCAGCCACCGCCTTGTGTGCGCTTGATTCCCCAAGTAGAGTGTTTGCCTGTGAAGGACTGTGGGCCGGCTCCGTTGATGAAACGTGGCTCCCATCCTCCCGGACTTATTCCTTCGGGTTTACACTGGATATGTGGTGTGTGGATGGAACTGTGGGTGGTGCAGCGCAAGCCACCCATAGCACCTCTATGGGCGCAGGCCTCCTGTGGCTGGCCACAGTGACAGGCAAATCCGAAATCGGATGCCGCTAACCATTGGTAATAGTCTATCGAATAGATGTAAAGCCAAACAAAGCCATAGAAATTAACGTTAGAAGACACCTTGAATCGCCGTATCATTATGATGACACATCAGCTGAATGTGTGCACACACTTCAGCTATTGTGCCGCAAGAAAATATGGGCCTTTTTTGCTCTTTGCACATGCACTTTTCCGTTTTTTACCTTTTTTAATTATTACGCATTAAGCACCTAATTTTGAACATTTATGCACACTAATCTTTTACTGTTTTCGATTGCGCGCCATATTCCTGTATTCTTTGGAGCCGTCGGCACTGCTCGTCCTTTGGTCCCCAACTGTTTAGCTGAATTAAACTGAGTTTCTACTCCTTCTGTGCGAACTTATAGGTGTCTAACAGCCGGCGTCTCTACCAGTCTTCAGTACTGAATCAACGAAATTCACCTCCTTTATCCGATGGACACTTTAGTAAGTTATGCGTGTTAATCGCCGATTTTATCGTGTTCCGATGTATTACGGTTTTCTTTCCCGTTCGCATTTTGGTGTCATTCACGCTCTTGGCTGTTTTGCTCCATGCTGACTGCAGTCACCACAGGTAGCTGGGCTTCGACATCAGACGGAAGCATTGATGTTACCCATCTGGCCATTGTGCCAGCGTTCACTTCCTGGATCAGCTGTTAGTCCAGCATCGACTTTTAATTCGTTCAACCTTAGTATATTATCGTGAATCTCTCTCTCTCTCTCTCTGTTGCTCATGGGAGTCACATGTGTTTACACTCAGTTTACAATTGAACTAGGTAAACCAATACCTTACCGATCTCGGCATCGTATTCTCTCTACCAGTCCCCATAGCAGTTGTAGCATGGACGGTCCGCTTTATCCCCTTTACAGTGTTATTGGCGTTTCTCCTAGAAACTTCCTATGTCGGTAAGCATAGGAGTCATGGGTTCAGATCTTTTACCATTGTGGCTACAGATCGGGTTCAGTTGTCGTGTCCACTTCAATTCTTGATATTTTTCATTCAGAACAGGCGCCTTTGTTAACCGTAGAATGCAATCTATAGGGCAGCATATGTTAATAACCTTTCCTCATATAAACCGCCTTTCTTCCAAAGATCTCAGTAGATAGGTATGTTACCAATTGGACATTCCTCTGGAGTTGGTGTTTTGTTCTATCGAAATACACAAGACAACAGCTTAACGATTCTTCCACAAACTAAAATCGGGTCCCAGTGATAGTTCGTGTCTACGGCGACAACAAATCCATGGTATGCAGCATTTACGGCGTCGAAACCGTTGGCATCAGACACTTAAAGGGGGGTCTGGTCTTGCAGACTGGATCCTAGTGAACAACTACACGTGTTCTAGTTGACTTTGAAACCATATCAGAGTCGATAAGTAGGGGCCGAAGGCAAGTGAATCGTTGTTAATGCTTTCTCTGTCACTGACCCTGAAATTGATAAAAATGAATTATATAAGGAGCTCTTGTTATTCGAATGGCTCAAAGCACGGTTGTCATGGTTATTGCGAGTGATAGGACCTCAAACGCCTTGTCAGGTATAGGCTTGCCGTATTGGACGCGCACCGAAATACATAACATATGCTTAGTTCACAGTTCAACCAGTTATAGATATCGCACCTCCGCGTGATTTTTCGATCGATTTCTTGTACTTGCCTTGAATTTGATCATATCCTCATTCGTGCCTACATAGCACTCACCCTTTGATGTATTGTTGAACGTGGATGGTGTCTGCTTACCAAATATAGCAGTACCTCATGAAACAGCGCCGTAAGCTAACGTTTGAGGTGAACGAATCGAAGGCAGAACGGAATTGCCTCCAATGCGCGTGACAAAAAGCACTCGATTCAAGTCAACTCAGGACAAGCTTCATACACTAATGTGGAAGGGATTTTCAGCACTGACACTGCGAATATAGTCGAGGTGGGGAAAATGCAAATGGACGAAGAAATAATGGGTGCATTTTCAATCAAGCAGACGGTCTCGCAACTGATGCACCATTACTTAGCTCGATCAATAAGAGTGACAGATAGGACAAAATGGGATCGCTATACGACGAGTTACGACAAAAATGGAACTTCAAATTTCAACCACCTGGAAGAAACGGATACCATACTGGCTAGAACATTGTGTAGAGGGTGGAAGGAGCCATTTAGAATCCTGAGCGGATGGCTGAAACATACCTCAAAATGCTTGCTAACAAGAACACCAGTATGGGACTCTGCTTAATCAAAGACATCGGGAACTAAATTTTAATGAATGCAAAAGAGCCCAATCCGTTTGAATTAGTTGGGGAAAATAACAGAGGAACGGTGTATAACCAATGGGGGAGAATACGTGCTGTTACAAAATTTAGAATTGGAGCATAGAGTACGAAAAGCATTTTGGGCGCGAGTGCCTGACATGGTCTTCTGACTTTCGAAAAGTCCTAAAAATATGTGTGGACTAGTATAACTTGTGGGATAATAAAACACAGAAATACTTTACGGTAGGTGAACGCGTGATGCTTTAGTCACTGAAGACTAATGGAGATGAGGTGTACACAAGGGAATTCAGTCTGTGGTGACAGAGAAAATCGAGCGTTAAAGCACAGCACTTGGAAGGGTTAGGGGAGAAGGACCGACTAAATCGGTTGAATTGTTCCCATATATCTTGCGCGTTAGCGTAATCTGCTGCGACAAACGTACCAAGCAGCACTGATCCGATTAGCACTGGCTGTCAGTTGTTTTGTGCTATGGTTTGCTCCATCAAAATGCAGTCCTCAAAAATCGGCAGGGACCAGATCTTACGTGATCAGCTAGAAATCGTCCAGGGATTCAAGTACCTGGTCAGCTCTATATTAACGCCCGTGGGATCGAAGATGAGGTTACGAACCGTATAGCAAAAGCTCGAGGTGCTTTTGCCAATCTCCGCCACCTGTGTCGCAGACGCGACATTACTCTTGCCCTGAAGGGCAGAGTTTATAACACTGCTGTCCGTTCAACCCTCCTGTGTGGTTGCGAAAGCTGACCTATCAAGTCGAGAGACATAAAGATGCTAGTCACGTTTGATCATCGCTGCCTTCGCATCTTAGCTCATGTCTGGTTGAAGCACCGCGTGAGCTATGGGCGTGTTCGACGTCGCGTATTTGGTGCAGGGAGAGGGAGTAAAACGTTAACCATTAGGCTCCGATGGTTGGGCCATGTGGTGCGCATGCCAGCACACTGACTCCCACGACGTGCATTGTTTGCGCGCCGTGGTGTGGTTGGTAGAGGAGGAGGGGAGGCCAAGCGATGATCTGGTCGAGAGAAATTAAAACACTTCATCGGTTGTTGCATCTCGGCCACTGGGCTGGGGTGTTAAGGACGATGAATATGTTTGGTTGGACACACTTTTGTTATGGAGAAGAGCAGGCCCCATTGACGTTTGTGTTGTGAGTTTCTCTGTCCATCCTGCAATTCCGATCTCATACGTAATGCATAATATAATATTTAACATTATGTTACTTGCTATGGATTTTTTGTAGTGTAATTTTTGTATATCTTATTTTTTCGTGTTGCGGCACATTAGCTGAGGTTTGTTTTTCACCCTCAGCTGACGTGTATTGATGATGGTGATTACTCTTCTTCGAGTCTGTGTTGCCCGTTCAGCACAAGTCGTGCTTCTGTGAGTGGCTGCGATTCGCAATTACTCTGCGTAGGAATTTACCGAGCGGTTGGTCAATGTTCAAAACAGTTATGGTTAGGCCGGAGTCGTCATGTCTTTCTCCAAACTGGTGTGGTGTATGAACGAAGTTCATTGGGCCAATGATGGTTATTTGGTTTACTTGTCGACAGCTCAGCCGCACTTCCTGAGCACACTACATTTTGACTTATCTCCAAGTTTCTTTCCATCTCTTAAGTATTTTTTAAGAGGCTGCGTCTGGCAACATCCGCACGTGACGCAACTCGATGATAGGGCCTCGAAAAAGCCCGATGACAGTTCTTTATACATCAGTAAAATTACCATCAGAATATCAGTTCGTCATCATCACATTGGCTGAAGGTGAGAAACTTATCTCAACTATTGTGCCACAATGCGTCAAGGTAAGATACTGAAAATTACAGAATGCAGGAAAAACTGGCGATACACGACGTAATATTATGCGTCAAGATAGAGGTGGTGGTTGGATAAGATAAGCAGGATGGGGAGGGAACAAGACACTCACAACACAAACGCCATTGTGGTCGGCTACTTGCCATGTCAACTAGGGTATCCAATCAAATGTGTTCATCGTCCTTCGAACCCCAACCAGACAGTCGGGACACACCAACCGACACCAACTTCGAAGCGGGAGATTTCATTTCTTTTGACCAGGTCATCGCTTGGCCACCCCTCCTCTTCTTCCATCCACACCTCCGACGATCAAACAATGCACAACGACGAAGCCGGTGGGCTGGCACGCACAGTATGTGGCCTAGCCATCGGAGCTTGGTACGTGATCTAATAAAGCTGAGCGGTTCACTCGTTCTTCTTGCACCAAGTATACGACGCCGAACACATTCATTGCTCACGCGAAGGCAACGATGATCGAACGTTATTAGCCTCTATGTCTGTCGACCTGATGGGCTAGGTTTCGCAACCATACAGTAGGGTTGAACGAACGGCTGCATTGTAAACTGTGCCCTTCAAAGCGATAGTGATTTCGCGTCTGCGCCACAGGTGGCAGAGATTGGCAAATCGCCCCGAGCTTTTGCTACATTGGCGATGGTATAGCGGCCTAGATACTTGAATTTCTCGACAACTTTTAGCTGATCATCACCAAGGGTCAGAGTAGGAGGCTGTCCCTGTTAATCTTGGAGAAGAACTTTGCACTTCGAGGGTGCAAAGCATAGCTCGAAACGACTGACAGCCAATGCTAATTTTTCCAGTGCTAATTGGCACATTTGAAAGCCGTCACAGATAAGGACAATGTCGTCAGCATACTCCAAGTCAAAATTCCGTTCACCCGAAAGCAGCTCCACACCTTGCCGGTCGTGTCCATTGAACGCAGTTTCCATGATCTCGTCGATGGAGAAATTAGAAAGGAAAGGTGACAGCGCGCATTCTTTTCTCAAACCGCTTTAGATATTGTAGGGCGATGACAGTTTGCCGTAAACCCTCACTCTGCCCGAATTATGCGAGTAAAGCGCTCTGATAATGTTTACATATTTCTCGGGCGCACCTTTCCTCCGAAGCCAGTCCAAAAGGGCCCATTGATCAACCGAATCGAAGGCAACTTTGATGTCGAGGAAAAAAGACTGCGGTGGCTCGGCGATAAATATGGCGGTGCTCCAGAAATTGTGAAGACTTGATCAGTGCAGCCTCGACGAAACCCGGCTGACTTTCACGTGTGCCATCAAGTCTGTGAAGAATGGCAGAGGCGACTATCTCAAAGGCAATTGAGATCAGATTCATTCCTCAATGGTTGCTGCATTCAGAACGCGATCCAC